GACTGCATCTCTGGAGCTCAGTCACAGTCATCTTTGGGTTCTTCTGTACTTCTCTCACCAAGGCTCTTCTCCCCCGATAGCTCAGTTTGGCCGGACGATCAGCTCTAGGAAGGGTTCTGGTCGTCCCCAACGTCTTCCATTTAAGGATTATGGAGGCCACTGTGCTCTTAGGCACCTTAAGTGCAGCAGAAATTTTTTTGTAACCTTTGCCAGATCTGTGCCTTGCCACAATTGTGTCTCTGAGCTCTTCAGGCAGTTCCTTTGACCTCATGATTCTCATTTGCTCTGACATGCACTGTGAGCTGTAGGGTCTTATATAGACAGGTGTGTGGCTTTCCTAATCACGTCCAATCAGTATAATCAAACACAGCTGGACTCAAATGAAGGTGTAGAACCATCTCAGGGATGATCAGAAGAAATGGACAGCACCTAAGTTAAATATATGAGTGTCATAGCAAAGGGTCTGAATACTTATGACCATGTGATATTTCAGTTTTTCTTTTTTAATAAATCTGCAAAAATGTCAAAAATTCTGTTTTTCTGTCACTATGGGGTGCTGTGTGTACATTAATGAGGAAAAAAATGAACTTAAATGATTTTAGCATATGGCTGCAATATAACAAAGAGTGAAAAATTTAAGGGGGTCTGAATACTTTCCGTACCCACTGTATCTAACAGAATGTGATGGATTCCATAGTTGGTGCAACACCTACAGCAGAGCGCCATGGGAGCCCTGAAGCAAATGCTATGTTGCACACCAAAAAACAGAAGCTCAAAAAAGGTCCTATTGCAAAACCTGTGGAAGACAACACTAATTCATACTGCTCTGTATCCGTATGAACACAGCCCTTGTGGACAAAACACATTTACAAACATATTTAATAAGTTTTGTGGGGGAAATGGCCCCAAAGGCACCATGCGTCTTTTATTGTTAGATACATTTGCTTGATTACATAGTCCAACCCTCTACTTTGAAGTATAAAATTGCAATGCACAATAGTAACAAAGACAATAGTAAACCACCTTAAACCAAAAAAAAAAAAAAAACAACTGCCCACACCATTCAGAATATGATACATTAGATATTTCATTAATTATCAGTTATCAGCACAATCACACATTATTTTCAGTGAAGCATATGGCAAACACTGAAAGTCAAAAAACAGAATCAAAACACAACATTAATATTGATAATGGCATAAAAATGTCTGTATAAAAGATAATCTAGGAAACCTGCTGGAAGAGGAGTGTTACCGTATCTAGCTTTTGAAATATGACATTCATTGCCAGGTGCCATTAGTCCATCATACAATATCTCAGAGTTAAACTTTTATAACAGAATTGTCCAGTGAACCACACAGAGTAGACACTCATCAGCAGGACCCATGGGATGACAGTTAATCCTGACTCTAGCATGGGTTCTGCAACACTTTTAACATGGACAATGATCCCTACATCTGTAGAACCCCACCCTGCCCTCCCATAATTTCTTTTCCAACTGTATAAATAACAATCAATGGTCATACTCCACAGCACAGAGACAACAGCTCACATTCAAGACAATTATTTAGTTGGATTTCAAAATTATTTCATGTCTAATGTCAGTAAAGATTTTCTTAAATAGCAAAAATTTAACTTAGATCAATGAACACAGCTTTTCACATGAGAGGGGTGAAGCAAATGAACCGACTTCACAGCATGTAATGTCTTTTTTAAACAAAAGAAACAGTGATTAACTTCTCTCCACCTTCACCATGGTCTCTGTGCTGAGGTCGCCCCACCCCCCACCCCCCGCGCATGCCAAAAGTACTCCTATGTAACATGTATTCCTTTAGTATCCACTGACTCACAGTACAGAAACAATTCATTTTTCAATTAGGCTACATACGTATGTCAAGGCAGATAATAAGCACTGCTGTTGCTTCACCTCCCCCTCCCCCATCCCACCCCCTTATTGATCATTTAAGTGCAACCAAGCACACGTCTTCAAACAGATGAATAATGAGAAATAACAGGGGACCTCATGAGGATGGCAAAGCCCTGGCTTTCTGTCAGGGTAATAATGGTATAATCCATCCCTGGTGTCAAAAGTCAGTTATGCTGTTGATAGATGCTTGTAAGACCTGATTCTTTTAAACTTGTGTAATAAAACATAAAAAGCAGAACTTTAATAATACAGTAACATAGTAAACCACCTCCCTGTACACTTGAACTGTAAAACTTGGGACTTTTATTTTTTGTAAAACAACAGACTACATGAAAATGAGTAATCCCATTCCTTTCCTTTGAGTGACCAGATACAAAAACTGCCTCAAAAGAGCTGAAAGGTTTATTTCAAATTTTTGTGACAAAACACACAAGTCTGACTATTTTATAACCATTCTGTTCATTTAAAAACAAGAGGTAGTAAAAAAAAGGCAATCCAAAGTGGCAGGCAATGATATAATCTTTGGAGAAAAGGCACTTGCTTTCCTAACAAACCACTTGCCTCTGGTTTTCACCTTCTGTTGTCCTGTTCTCTTTACTTTTCAATCTTATATACATGTCTCTTTTATTACTCTGTTCCTTTGGAGACCACAAGAATCTTTTCAAACCTAAATACGTTCTTGTTCCCTCAATAAAACATTTCAAGCTCCATCAAATACCTCGGCAAAAGTGACCCACTTCATCTAAAGCATGTTTAAACACATGGAAAATAGATACTTGTTTGACAAAACCCATAATTCTTCAAAATTTCTTTGCATGTTGGCACTTGTTTCCTTGCTGCTTTTTTTAAAGCTTAAAATATGTCCTTGTTAGCTCGATCTGGCATTGTTTGTATGTTTTTTGTTGTTTTTCCTGGATAGTTGAGCTGGTCAAAGAAAGATCGTGTCATGCTTTTGTTTGGCTTTTCCAAAACCTCCCTGAAGAGCTGTTTAGTCTTTAACAAGTCTGTAGACATGATACTGAGCTCCATGTTCACTTGTAGAAACCTCAAAAACAAATGCTATACAGAGCAAGGTCTCCTGGGTGTCGCGGTTCGTCACCACCTGAAGGGTCAAAGGAGAAAATGTCAAGTGAGAGTTAAGAAGCAGCAGAGTCCATTGGGAAATACTGCAGCGATCATCAGTTGATAACTTCATAATTTGATAAAGGAATAGTTTGTCATTTCAAGAAATCTGCTTGTTGGCTTTCTTGCAAAGAGGTAATGTTACTGCAAATATGAAGATACAGCCAGCAGCAGCTTATTTTAACTTAGCACAGAGACTGGAACATCTCTACACTAAGTTAGGGAGCCTAGCTCTGTCCAAACACTACAAACCCCCATCTACTAGAACTTCTAAATCTTACTAATTAAACTGATACATCATTGTTTAATTCATTAAAAAACCAACCACTACAAATAACGCATTGTAGTTTGAAGGGGGGTTATAGTATGTGCCAGGCTAGCTAGTCTTTGTGCTAAGCTAAACTAACCAGTTGCTGGTGTAGCTTCACATTTTCTATAAACATGAGTGTGGTACTGGTCACCTCATCTATCTCTCAGCAAAAAAGAGAATATCATATATAGTTCTCCTAATGCCATACAATTTCTTTTATAATCTGATCACATCAACTCTGTGTTACCTGTAGTATAGTGAAGTTTTCAAGAACACTGTTCATCATGTATTTTTCAGGCAAGTGTTTGAGTTTGTGGATAAAGTTGATCATGTACTCGCACATAGGAGAGCGGTGGATCCTGTAAACACACTTTCCCCCTTCCAGACGGGCATACTCTGTCTGCAACACACATAGGAGGGACAAAAGCATCCAGCAGTGAGCTAAAATGATGTCCGAGCAAGGACACCATCATCTCAGATCTGGTAGGTCATGAACAAATTTGAGTTTGTGAGAATGTTAATCATTAATGTATGTTTTACCTCCACTTTCTCGACAACCTGCTTGCCAAACGAGCAGACTTTGGTTGAAACTGTGATCGTCATGTTCTCAGTGCTGCTGTACTGGCTGCTGACACCGTAGAAAGAACCAGGCCCATCCTGCATGCCACTACTGTTCAGGTCCGCCTGCAGAAGGCACAAATGTCATCATATTATATGTTCTGATACATACGGTACTAAAAAAGAAGCACCTTATAACACATGAACTGTCAGGTTGAAAGAGAATTTTAAGGTGTTTTAATGGAGTTTTGTTTCTGTGGAACAACAAACATTCTTGAGACTAGATGTTTGGGGAAAAGATAATATGCGCAGAGACAGATTACTAAATGGAAGAGAAGTGTGGTGTACATGATGAAGCAATACATTGTGAAATGCCTTGTCTGTAATCTTAAGATAAGGGTCTTCACCAATGCAACCACCATGGGGTCATAGAAAAAGGAAGCATTTTGCATAAGCTGGATTTCACTATCACATATCACTGTTTACATTCTCAGTTTGCACATGCATAATTGCACAATGATTGTTGACTGCTGCTCCCATGCAGCATACATTCTCTATTATATTCTTTTATTATATTGCTGCATTTGTTGCTGCTTAAAGTGTCCTATGTTTTGTGTTACTTATTTGTGCTACATGCATAATTGCACAATGACTCTGCTGCACATGCAGCTCCCATGCTGCATACATTCTGTTATATTCCTATATATTTTTTAATATATTGCTGCATCTGTTGCTGCTTAATTAAAGTGCCTTAGATTTTGTTACTTATTTACAGTATTGTTCAAAATAATAGCAGTACAATGTGACTAACCAGAATAATCCAGGTTTTTAGTATATTTTTTATTGCTACATGGCAAACAAGTTACCAGTAGGTGCAGTAGATTCTCAGAAAGCAAACAAGACCCAGCATTCATGATATGCACGCTCTTAAGGCTGTGCAATTGGGCAATTAGTTGAAAGGGGTGTGTTAAAAAAATAGCAGTGTGGCATTCAATCAGTGAGGTCATCAATTTTGTGAAATAACAGGTGTGAATCAGGTGGCCCCTATTTAAGGATGAAGCCAGCACTTGTTGAACATGCATTTGAAAGCCTGAGGAAAATGGGTCGTTCAAGACATTGTTCAGAAGAACAGCGTACTTTGATTAAAAAGTTGATTGGAGAGGGGAAAACCTATAAAGAGGTGCAAAAAATTATAGGCTGTTCAGCTAAAATGATCTCCAATGCCTTAAAATGGAGAGCAAAACCAGAGAGACGTGGAAGAAAACGGAAGACAACCATCAAAATGGATCGAAGAATAACCAGAATGGCAAAGGCCCAGCCAATGATCAGCTCCAGGATGATCAAAGACAGTCTGGAGTTACCTGTAAGTACTGTGACAGTTAGAAGACGTCTGTGTGAAGCTAATCTATTTTCAAGAATCCCCCGCAAAGTCCCTCTGTTAAAAAAAAGGCACGTGCAGAAGAGGTTACAATTTGCCAAAGAACACATCAACTGGCCTAAAGAGAAATGGAGGAACATTTTGTGGACTGATGAGAGTAAAATTGTTCTTTTTGGGTCCAAGGGCCACAGACAGTTTGTGAGACGACCCCCAAACTCTGAATTCAAGCCACAGTACACAGTGAAGACAGTGAAGCATGGTGGTGCAAGCATCATGATATGGGCATGTTTCTCCTACTATGGTGTTGGGCCTATTTATCGCATACCAGGGATCATGGATCAGTTTGCATATGTCAAAATACTTGAAGAGGTCATGTTGCCTTATGCTGAAGAGGACATGCCCTTGAAATGGTTGTTTCAACAAGACAATGACCCCAAACACACTAGTAAACGAGCAAAGTCTTGGTTCCAAACCAACAAAATTAATGTTATGGAGTGGCCAGCCCAATCCCCGGACCTTAATCCAATCGAGAACTTGTGGGGTGATATCAAAAATGCTGTTTCTGAAGCAAAACCAAGAAATGTAAATGAATTGTGGAATGTTGTTAAAGAATCATGGAGTGTAATAACAGCTGAAAGGTGCCACAAGTTGGTTGACTCCATGCCACACAGATGTGAAGCAGTTATAACAAACTGTGGTCATACAACTAAATATTAGTTTAGTGATTCACAGGATTGCTAAATCCTAGAAACAAAAACGTTTGTACAACATAGTTTTGTGTTTGTACAGTCAACGGCAGACACTGCTATTTTTTTTGAACACACCCCTTTCAACTAATTGCCCAATTTCACAGCCTTAAGAGCGTGCATATCATGAATGCTGGGTCTTGTTTGCTTTCTGAGAATCTACTGCACCTACTGGTAACTTGTTTGCCATGTAGCAATAAAAAATATACTAAAAACCTGGATTATTCTGGTTAGTCACATTGTACTGCTATTATTTTGAACAATACTGTATCTACTTTATATTTCATTTGTATTTTGTGGCATTCATCTGGACAGCAAAGAAAGAATTTCATTGTACAGGGAAACACGTTTCCTAGCTGTGCATATGACAAAATAAACACTTTGAACTTTGAACATGTCACTCAGAAGAAGTTGTGGGTTAAATGGCCTAGAAGTGGCCTATCACCACAGAATGAATGCCATTAGCAAAATAATGGGATTTTTACTGTACAGTATGTAAAAAAAAAAAAAAAAAAAGTCAATTTTATCACTTCAAGCATTTGTTTAAAAAAGTGAAACATTTTCACATTCAGTTATGTGATTTTTAAAGATGAGTACGTCAACTCATTTAAAACTTGACATAACAGCTAAAAGGCTGTAAATAAGATTTCACACTTTTCTTATCGGGATCATATTAAGCATTAACTAGACAATGTGGAAGACAAACGGACGCTAACACTGAATAACTGGCAATGACAACCCACCCAGAATTTAACTAGGAAGAAGGCATTCTGAGGGCCTTTCTCATAAAGCTCTTTGAGCCCGCCCTTCTTCTCAGGAAACTTGTCGTAGATCTGTCGGATGTCCACAGCCTCGAGGAGCGGATCGCTGTAGGAGGGGTTGGTCTGTCCAATGTGGACAAACAGATGTTTGCTGTACTGCAGCAGACAGAGACAGAAGAGACAATGTGACTTTCTGCTGACTTTTGAGAAGAAGGAAAGACTTGCGTAAAGCTGCCTGCTGTCAACAGCTTTCTGACATCAGACTCAACAAACGACCAACTGAAGATTCTGTTGTACTTAGCCTCTGTTGTTAGTTTTCCCATTTCAGTACTGTTCACCACCAAAATCATATTTTAAACACTTTCCTGTAACTAATAAGCTTTATAGCATTTGTCTGTGAAACCTTAACTCACGTTGTCTGGGTCTCTCTGGACCTCCATGAAGGCTGAATATTCCAGCATTCGCAGCTTAGAGGAGGCGATAGTCCGGTCCTGCCACACTGGCACTGCAGTAGCATTTGGTGCAGGGGGAGGCACCAAGGGCTCATAACCTAGACAGCACACACATTTATAAAAACAGGCACAGAGACAGTGACTTGCCATTTCCATGTCATTCACTAGTTTGTTTTCATTTTCACAAAATTCTCTCAGATTTTGACTTCCTACTCACTCGGTATGGATTGTGGAACAGGACCTTGTATATGTAGGCTTGGGTATGGTGGTTGTACAAAAGGTTTGATACTGAAAGATATTGAACAGTATTATGAAACAATGACATACGAACCATATAGAGATGGTAGCATCAGAAAAAAGCACTTTAATGTAGTAAAGATCTTTGTGGCACACGGGTTTGACTATATATTTGATCCTGTTAGCGTCAAACTGTAAGGATGTGCTGCTGCACCAGCTAGGCGTAAGTCCACCTGCTTCAATGCTTCTTAATGATGAAAAATGAAAAATCTAAGATATTGATCTATACTTTTATATAGTTCATATATAGCAAACCTTTGCCCTATTCCTTTTTCTCAATCAGTTTTGAAGCCATTAATTTGCCTGCTGATGGTTCACATTAGTGCAGGAAACATACAGTACAAGACAGTGTACAAGAAAGGTTAGTGCTGCTTTGTGCTTTGCTAGGGGGAACTTACGCATGGCTGGTGTGGCCAAACCCAGGAGTCCTTCCCGGGTTGAGATCTAGAACCAGCCTGGTGTGCAAAAATGTGATCCGTTAATCATGCCCACCTGACATTAACCCTAACCCTCTCATTTACTCTCTCATTCAAGTATCTCTAGCATTAGTATCTCTCTTAAACTGAACAAACCCTTGTGTTTTCCCACAGGTACCTTGTGGGATCAGTAGAGCAGTTTACTTACTCCTGAGAGGGTCCAGGCTGTCCTGAGATCGGAGCAGGCCAGAACTGGAGAGAAAATAGAAACTGTAAATTGCTGCTCCAAATTCAAACATCATTTTTCATTACTGAAAAGAAGCAACAACCATAAAATGTGGCTATGTCCTGTAACTGCACATTAAATGAACAGTGGTCTCACTTTGGGGGCTGCTTGGTAGGGGGCAGGAGGCAGCGGTGGAAGATGATTCTTTATCATACTCGGGGAGACGATCTGTGCAGATGACAGTGCTGCCATGTTCTGCAGGGCTTTGTCTTTAGTCGCCTGGTCCTAAAGGTAACACAGAGAAATTAAGGCTGTCAACCACAAGGTGGCACCATAACCCGAAACATTTACTAATTGTAACTGTTTCAAAAAATGTCTGTGATAATCTTGAGAAAAACGGTTTTAATAAGATTGACAGGAACATAGCTTAACAGTCGATAATTATACAGTAACTAATCTTCAAAACCATGCAAAGAAAATCATTTTTGAAAAAGCAGCTTGACAGAATGAAGCAAAGAGAAGAGGAGAGAAAATGAAGCAGCGTTGCCCCAGGGGTAGTAAAGGTCAGTGTGTTATCAGGACCATCACAGGAAAAAGAGAATAAAGAGAGCGCATTGACTTGAAACTGAGTTTTCCCATTCATGTTGCATCCAAGAATAAACATCAACTTACTGAGGTGGTACTATGTGCGTGAAATAAGTCATTAGGCAAAAAATACATATCCATGGTGCATGACACATAGTTTATGATTTACACACACATCAAAGCAATTTACTCTCATTTTAATATTTCAAACTTTATCGCTCTTTTCTCACGTTTTCCAAGGAATGCATTTCAGCTAAGTTAGCTGTGAAAGTTGCCTTAGAAGCGAGACCCTGAATCAAGGAGTGACACCTTGTGCAAAGCAAGCGAGACTGGATTTTGGCAGAGACTGAGGGGAGGATGCTGCATCAGGCAGGATGTGCAGCAGTACTGTGTTCAAAGTGTGGCTATTTTCTAAGCATTGCTTCATTACGGGACAGCGATGTGATAGGTCACCATGCCAGCAGAGGGCCAAAGCAAGGGAACAGTGTACTTGTGCTGCCACACAAAGGCGAGGAGGGAAGCATATTGCACAAGTCAGACTCACTTACCAAATTCATCGCCTGAATCAAAAAAAGAGAGAAATGATGCAGTAAGATTCATTAAAAGTCTTGGTTGACATAAAACTTTGACAAGATTAAAAATTGGCTTTTAATTCTTTTTCTGTACTATAGACACGGTGTTGACGAACTCGAAATTCACACCATGAATGACAGTGACCCCACAACGTTTCAATAAATCTTTACACAATATACAGCAGATGAAAAGGACATGATTTTAATGACTTTTTATTCAAAATCTGTATATATTCTGGGAACAAATCACTTTTGTAAATAGTCGAAATTCAAATGCTTCAAAGTTTTCTGCTGCACAATCCTTCAGTGTATTACATCAAATTTGGGTACAGAGCATAGCTAATTTAGCAGTCGCTCTCTCTACTTGTCCTTTTTACGTAATTTCCTGGTGTCAGCCATTTGATCTTTAAAGAGTGGCTTGGAAACTAACTTTCGGGGAGATTTTCTGGCTTAATAAATTCTTGACAAACATGTGAACAGAGCAAAAGCTCTGCATAGGGTATGGGTAGGTACAACTGCATAGTTCTTTAGCTGATATTTAATATTTCAAAATGACAAGAAACATACTGAAGTGACAGCACTGACCAACATCAAATGATTGAACTAAATGAATGCTGAGTGAACACTTAAAATTATGGCATACAATATTACTTTTCAAATTCATTTTGTTACAAACATATGTAAGATGTTGTGTGAAGGACACAACAATAAAGCCCTTTGAGCAGAGAGGACAAAAATCACCACGCAGCGTGTTTTATGCCTTGAAACCTGAGAAAACCTAAAACCTGTATTTAGAACCTAATATGCCTCCATGTTTGTTCATTTACAGAACTTGTCTTTCCAAATACAGTATATGTGATATAAAGAGTGCTGTTCATGGATTTTTATCTTGGAGTTAAGAAACTTAAGTTGATTGTTCCTACTGTGCATTATACAATTACTTTTTAGGTCAAAATCTGTGATATAAGAAAGTACAATGATTGATCCTTCTATTTCCATATAGGTTATCACACTAGTTCAACTGGGATAACTGAAGTATAGACAGGGGATAAATTAGAGGAAAAACCAACATAAAATATCTTAATAAAGTGCTAGGCCTCCACATGCCAACAGAAACAGTCAATCAGTGCACCTTGGCATTGATTCTCCAAGTCTCTGAACTCTGGATGAATGAACACCATTCTTCTAAAAGACATCTCTTAATGGTGTTTTGATGGTGGAGACGCTGTCTAACGCATCACTCTAGCATCTCCCATAGGTGTTCCACTGGGTAGAGATCTGGTGACTGTGAAGGCCACAGCATATGATTCACATCATCTTAATACTCATCAATCCATTCAGTAGCCTCCTCATGCCTTATAGATGGGGCATTGTCATCCTGGAAGAGACAACTCTTTTATTCAGGTTTTTCCTTTAATTTGTCACCCATCTAGACATATGACACCACTGGAAATATGGCTAGTTTACAGTGTCTCTGTATGACAAATGGTTTAATTTAAAATGAAAGGCAACGCCTGTAGATGTAGGTGACTACTAGGGCATTAAGTCTGGCAGCCTCTTTATCTATATACAGTATGTGAATATGCAAAAACAATAAAAAAAGCAGGAAGAGGGAATGAAACAATTACAAGACAAACCAAACGAAATAATATGATGACAGTGATCAAAGATGATTCTTAATTTATGTTTGGGTTTACAAAAGACATTACAGACAGACACATCAGAGGAACTAAAGGTAGCAACTAAAGTACAGAGAGTTTTAGTGAAAGAAGAAGTCTCAGAGAAGTATGGCTGGCACAGAGGGCAGATACAGAGCTGGAGCATCATGCAGCTAAACGACTTTTCATTGGGCTCATCTTAACAGTTTGTGTAGCATTCCTTCAAAGAAGAAGCTTTAGATTAACCTGGTACTCTCTATTTGATATGGATGCTATTAGGCCCATGTTTAATGCAGCTCAAACCTACAGTAGAAGTTAAAAGCTCTAACTGTCTGTGCACTGCATGCATGATACAAAGGCAGACTGTTACATTTTCCAGACAATTAACACATAGTCATAAAACAACTAATTTTGCATGCCAAGCTTGCTTCTGCTTATCTAGTAGTAACTGGCCTCGCATCAAAGCAAGGAATGATAATGTACACAAGTGAACTGGTTAGTGCCAAGCCAAGCCTTTGCCAGCCCCGCCGAGCCCGCGGTGAAGCGCATACCTTTAGCTTTGACTGGATCTCGCGAGATTTTCTCCGGGCGAGAACCTGCAAGTGGCTAGAAACCTGCACAGAAGAATAGCCAAGAGAGGAGAAGAGGAAAAGGAGAGAAAAGACAAGGGAAGAAAGAGAGAAGCGGTAACCAAAGAGGAAAGCGACGCCCAGTCAGTGTTGCCAGGAGGCAGGTTGGTGGCACCTACCTTTATACCCGCCTGGTATTCACGAACTTTCTTCCGTGCTAACACCTGTATGTGACTAGACACCTAAAGGGGTGTGAGACAGTTTTTGACCATAAACACAACATTCACTCAAATGCATGCACACATACATGCATGCATGTTCAAATACATAATAACACACACAGTAGGAGCTCATTGTAGTTCACACAATACAAGTTTATTTAAAGGATAAGGCTGAAGATAAATAAAACACACACACATTAGTGAGTCACACTGATGATACAGAGAGTTTTTTGCCTTTGATAGGACTTGTTGACAATAAGGAATTTATATAACTTATCCTTTAAATAACTTGCTTATTTTGTAATTAATCAACAGGAATAAATCCATTCAGAAGTTGTTGTGGCTGCTGGTATCAGTGGTGGAAAGTAATTCAGTACATTTACTCAAGTACTGTACTTAAATACAATTTTGAGCTATCTTTACTTTTGAGTATTTTTATTTTGTGTTACTTCATACTTAGACTTCACTACATTTATTTTATAGCTTTAGCTACTAGTTATTTTTCCAAACCAAATTAATAAATTACAGTATAACCATACGACTTTACTGATCTCCAGTGGAAAACTCATAAGCTACCCAGCAGTAATTCAAATTATAGACATATAAGCTGGTTAAGGCTCCACATTTACCAGCTGCAACATTAAATGTGATGTACATAATAATGCCTCAGTAATTCTAATACAATAATATGATATACATCAATATGAAATGTGCCATTCTGCATAATGAGTACTGATGCAAATGATTTGCTACTTTTATTTAAGTAACACTTTTAATGCAGGACCTTTACTTGTAACAGAGTATTTTTACAGTGTTGTATTGCTACTGATGTGGGTACTTCTTCCACCTCTAGCAGTAATGAATTATTGTCATCCTTCCTGTGGTGTTTGTGTAGCTGCCTTGCACTATCAGTAAGTTAAACCAAAATCATGCATGATTATTCTAATTCAGTCCTCGGTCTTGTTTACCTGTTTTCTTGTGCGAGTTTTGCCTGTCCTCAGCTTGATGTACCTTGCTATCAGTTCATTACGACCTGCAACCAAAAACAGAAGCTGAAGTCACAAACAAATAGAAGAATACAGTATATGTAACATTTCTAGATTTCTGATAATACACTACACTGGACAGAAGGTGGCACTCTAGCAATGCATATCTCATGTAAGAGGAACATCAGTGTGACCTTACCCAAAGCAAGCCTACTTTTGTCATAGGTCACAGGCCACAATAACACCTCTGTTTCCTACAGGAAAGCTGTATGTTAATGTTCAATTTCTTATTTTACCCCTAAGTCTTCATTATCTCGTCTCACACCTCCTTACTGTTTGTTTGCATGGCCCTGTAGACTAATTACAGAGAGTGCTTAGAAAACAGAACCATATTTTTAATGACATAACATCCACTCTCGACATTCTGCACAAACAGGTTGTGGAGAGAACAGGCTTCTATTCTGGGCTTTCTTTATATTTAGTGCAGAGCATGTGCTTTAACAAGCACTGCCCTGATCACACAGAAATCATCTCTAGTTCATGAGAAGTGCAAAAAGCATTATTTTGTTGTCTCAAGAGGAAATCAGTCCTTTGGTCCTTTTCACTTCTTTTCATAGCCAAGTCATGCTTACTGGGTTTTCGTGGCTGAACACTAGGCCAAAGGGGGAGGGTGTACTGCTGTATCGTTATTATGAATAACAACCCTTCTAAACTTGCTGACAGAAATTTTCACCAACAAAAACTGGCCAAGATGTGCTTTCTTAAACACGCACAGACACACACAAGACTGTGTGTCTAGGAAGCTTACAGTTTAACAGCTTTCAGTATCCAGACACATAATGACAGGAGAAACATACTTGGCCTCCAGAAGGCCCTGGTTACCATAAAAGTACTGTAAGCCATCTCCAGTGGGCTTGCAGCACTCACTGTACTCTCCAACCAGTCGGCCCGGCGGTCGGCCAGCAGAGCAGAGCTGAACTGTCTGCTGATACTGAGGTAGCCCCTCCCCATCTTCCCTGGGCCAAGGATGGACACGCCTGTTCCAGCGCCTCCGCATTCCTAGCATTCCTCTAAGCCTGTCACATCTGTGCTAGCCAGTCTGATTGGCCTGGGCCTGCGCACACAGCCAGAACTTGGGCGAACACACACATGCTCATATGCACTTCCACTGGGTTGGGATAGGGAGTCGTGGGTTAAAAGGGCAAAAGGGGCAGCTGATGCAGTAACTCTTGGAGGAAACACAAAGCCATAACTGTCTCTGCCAACAACTGCCACCTGGCAGCAAAGTAACCCCTTTTCCCAAAACAACACCGCTGTGTTACCCGGCACTCAAGGGACAGCAGCACCTGCTGCCGACCTTCCCAGCAGAGGATGGCAGAGAAAGAACAATGCTAGCTCGACCCCCACCCAACTGTCACTCTCAATCTCTTCAGCTGAGGGGCAGAGAGGGGAAACATCCCAACCACAGGGCTTTGCTATGAATTTCACTGATAACTCACTGCAGAGGACTGTACCATATGATCTAGGTGCTGCAGGTTCGACTAAGAAATATAAGAACTTCTCTGACAATGGTCAGGCGGACTCAGTACTGTACAGAGATTGTCAAACTGTAAATTCATAGCAAACCTTCAGGACTTTCAGACTGAGTAAAACCAAACAAAATCTGCATTTACAATTCCAGCGATTATATAAGTTATTTTATTAGCAGACCTAGGAATGCATCGATTTTCTAATAATTGCCATTAATAACTTCATCAATTAAAATACATATTAACAGACAGCCTAAAGACATGCAGCTTAGGTTGACTGGCACCTCTAAACTGTCCGTAGGCATGAGTGTGGGTGTGTGTGGTTGTCTGTCTCTTAGTCCCCGTGTCATAGAATGAAGTGTAGTTTTCTGGAGTACCTGGTCACACTTCTAGGTGATGCCTCTCACTGGTTAACCCTCCTGTTATGTTGTGGGTCAAATTGACCCACGAACATAACTGCTGAGCAGGCATCACCTCATTTCTCAGGTGATGCCTGCTCAGCAGTTATGTTTGTGGGTCACTTTGACCCGCAACATAACAGGAGGGTTAATGAGATGGAGTTACAATTGTATTTGAAGGGATGCACAAATTATAAATCCTATGCATCTCCTTGTCATCCAAGGAAGAAATAAGTTGCAGCAGCTTTCTGTGGTTGTTGTGGCAGTTGTGTTGATGAACAGTGCACCATAAGGTCTGGTCTGGGTTAGCCTTCTATCTGAAGCTCAGGAGCTGAGTGTGGCACAGCAAAGAGCATCACTACCAAGTGCTCTAATTAAACATGCTTCGAACATGATCCACGATACATCCACCTACATCCATGAACATGATAAGTGACACTCCACTCCCACTTCCAGTATATATGCATTTTACCAGTGGCAGTAAATGTTCAAAGATTTCTTGGACTAAAAGAAAATATTTGTGGATCCCAGGGGACAGACGGAGCAGGTGTTGCCAGCAGCTGTATTAACGTTACAGGTACGTTATTCTTAAAATGTAGACAAGGTGTGTGTATTATTGTACATAAACCAGTAAAACTGGAGTCCGCTGTAGAGAGACTGGGGTAACCTGCTTCATTTTTATGTATTTATATATGAAGAAATTAACTCGTGTTGGTTAATTTATAATTCAAGTAATATGGTGTTTAATTAATGTGTTTTTTAAATTCATAACTTACTGTGACTTTGCCATAGGTCATATCACTGGTTAAAACCTTTTTCTGTTATAGAATAAAACCACAGCATTTCATAAATTGTTAACTATGAACCGATAATTGATTGTTAACGACGATCAATTAAGGACAAACATTTTTAAATTTGCATCCCTAAGCATAACACATCCTGAAATATGCATTAGAACTAAGCAAGTAATGCCTTGGTATTGCATGGTAAATTAAAAATGTGTCCTGTTCATCTGCTGACCAGCAAACAGTGTTGGGGAAGCTACTTTGAAAGCTTTGCAAGCTACCAATTACTTCAAAGTGGAAAAAGCTGCTACTGGGAGAAATCTAGTTTGGTTAACTAAAGTATCTCAAAATAGTTAAAAAATAAAGATCTAACTGACGCTGTACATGTGAAACTAAATTATAACAAAATATAATACAGAAACGTCACATACCAGTAAAAATGCAGTTGAGTTTGCCTGAGACCTAAACCTGTACTAAATAAAACATCTGGGTTTTTCACTGGGGCAAAAGTGCAAGAAATGTTATATTTTATTGCAAACAAATCTGGATTTTGTATAATCTGACTAGAACTAAAACAGAAAGAAATAAATATTTAACTTGCATTTTTTGACCAGCCTGAGCACTGGCATAAAAACGTGGGCCTGCTTGTGTCTTACTTGTACAGTCTAAAACAATTTTCAGCTTCCACCTTTTCAGACAGTATGAACAGCTTGAACACGGGTCTAAATAACTGACCTATTTTTTTTTTACTTGTTAGAGCAGAATCTCTTGTTTATACCACACATGAGCCATCTCTCAAAGTTCTAATCCAACATGCGGTTCCGTTTGGCACTGAAAATGTCCTTGTCAGCACTGAAAAGCTGCTCACATGCAGCATGGTAAAATAAAAATATAAAACCATTCCTTTCCTTTTATGGCCCAAAACCGTGCAGTTTCAGCAGTTAAAAAATGGCAAAACATAAATTAACTACTTGAATCACTATGTAGATATTAATGTAGTTGAACTACCATCAAGCTACTGCAAAACGTATTTAAACTACTAGTTTAATTACACGTAGTTCACCGCTTCCCAACACTGCCAGTCAAGCTCTGTGGTTCTGAGCTGATATGATATCTCCAGTGTTCCCACAGTATCTGATTGATATTGTGGTATTTTAAATCAATTCCTGTAGTTTAAGTGATGAGACACTTTGAAACGGGTCAGAGTATCAGATAAGCTTTTATAAAGTTGAACATTCTAATGGCTGGGGAGACAAGCTGTGAGTCACGTTGTCAGATGCTACTTTTCTGCTCTGTGAAACAAACTGGATCATAGTACTGTACCAGTGCAAATATCTGAAGTTCCCTGTACAATATATAGCATTACTCTGTAGAAAATGAGGAGTTGTGCAGCCAAAACTTAAAGGAACTGGGGTCATGAGTCCCAAAATGCCTCATCTGTCATGCCACACAAAGCCATAGCGTACAGTGCATTCTGAGGAGTAAACCCGTTCTCAGACACAAAATACTGCTGAACAGATCTGGAAGATGAGTTGATGTCTACATTAGGAAAAACCTGCACCCAGATATCATTCGCCTAAGGTAAAAAAATAAAATCACTACCCCATATTACAAAACATGCCAGGACTTCAAAGCGGCGGCTGCATGAGCACGTGCACATTTTATGGATGATTAATGCTTCTGCTCAGTTTTCTTACAACAGTGACCCAGTAGGACTGGTTATATTAGTTGATCCTATTTTAGACAAACTGCTCCCTAGAATCCCCTAAACCCAACAGGTGAAACATTGAGGACATGATATCTGTGTCATTAATCTGCAGCCGAGACCTGCTCAGACCTGACATGGTGGGCGGTCAGAGAGACGGTGCAAAGGCTGACCCACACAGCAGGGGATCACGACAGGTGCATACAGTCAGACACAGACAGACTCATACAATTGCATACATAACCTCACTTGCCATCTGCCTCCGATTTCCCCACACTCGCTGTCTTCCATCTTGCTACCCTCTTTTTGAGCTGTTTATGAATCCCTAGTTGATTGCTCAACAGTCATTCTTAACCTCTTCCCTGACAGGACACGCCTATCTTTTTTTCTTTTACTACATGACTGCTGGAATTTTCCACTTCCACGCTATGATAGTGAACAAAAAGGTAATCTCTCTTCACTCTCTGCACCTCCCTACACCCCTCCTCCTGCTCTTTCTCGCTCCTGAACCCTTTGTCCACCCTTATTCTCTTCTCTCCTCCCTTCTCACAACATTGAGGTAATCCTAAATTGCTAACACACTGTTCTGCCATGGCTGAAAACATTCCTAACATCTCAGTGAGGGGGCCGACAGGGAAGCACCAGGCCTGCTCAGTCATCATTTCAGGCCTTTCAGCCCCCTCAGTATATATTTCTCATAACTGTGCACAAGCACTGAGCCTGCTACTAACTCCTAATGGGACCTTCAAAGGTCAAAACGGACATAAGCCTTTGCTTCCCATATTGCTTTGCAGCTGTGTCAGCTGCAGGGCTGAGAGAGGGAGAGAGAAAGAGAAAGAGGTGAGTGATTGGGGTTTGACAAACCTGTCAAGGCCAGAAAACACAGGTGAACAACGTGTCAGCACAGCCCCAAAGCAAAACAAGACAGGCCACATTTTTCGACACATGCATCTCCTAAAAGATACTTCCTCTGAACATAAGGTGTAAAATGTGTCAACTATTAATACATTTTGCTTATCATATCGATGTAAGAGTGTGGGGTGAAAAAGGTGACCGTGTTAGTGACTAGGATGAATTTGTGAGAGGTGTGGTAGACTTGAGTTTTATAATAAGAATCACATTTAACTGTTATAACTGTGGTTATGTCACAAACTACAGCTTATCTTAGTTAAGTTTAGTTCATGTACAGAAATATCTGCATTGATTATTAACACATGTGATTATTAAAAGTGAGTGTTATTCTTTTTTGAACTCTTGCTCACCTCTGAGCTGAGTAAACAACTGGCAGTGCAGCTGGGAAGTCTAGACACATGAACTGTGTAAAGCAGTATTCCTGCTTATGGAAACCTGCGAAGGTTTCCCAGCAAATGAAAACAATAAATCCTGGCAGAAAAAGTGGAGTTCCCAATAGGAGGGATGACTTGCCTACTTTTGGAGGCTATTGAGTGTCTGGGACCACAAGGTAGTATTACTGTACTTACAGTGCAATCGTTAACATTCCCCGGACCTCACGTCAGGACAGCTTTTAGATGTCTGAGGTAATCACCTTGTGAGAAGGCTTCCCCTGGGTCATGCCTTGGCTCTGCCACCAGAGCCTTAGGTGACTTATTGCAAATGAAGGGAGGGCAGTTAGTGCTCTAAAAGGGTCCTGACAGTTTGTTGCTAAGGGGGCAGGTTTGTGTATGCCTCTTTGTTGACATTTTCATGACAAGTGCACGGAGCCTGGGACACAACACTGACCTGCTAAATAGGACTGAGGGGTTATTTAGGTTTTACTGTAAGGTGTGTACACAACTGTCAAATTAAAAGCATGTTATGAACTGTCATTCTGGAAAATTATAAAACCTTACTAATATATACTTCTATATTTAAGCTTATGTAATTCAAGTGTGCTTAAAATAACCATGTGATAGATTAAATTTGATGAAATTTGATTAAAACTGATTGTATACCTTATTGAATCACATCATACATGCTAACAGTGAACAGACTGAACATGCTGTCATTAATAGAACAGTTTATGTTTACATTTGTTTGTTCTACGGAAGCTGCAACAGTGGTAGAGTTAACTCAGGTATGCATTTGTCACTGAATATCCAAACCTGCCTGCTGAAAACAGAATGAAATTTCGTCGTGAGTGATTCATGCCAAAAGAATCTAATGTGATGTCAAGCAAAGTAAAGCGACCCGAAAGAGAATGCTTTAAAAACAAACTCTAATGCTTCTAAAATACATAGTCTGTCAGTGACTTCTGTGGCAATGACAGACGGCTTTTATGGTTGCACTGAAGATTGAATTAATTTCAAGTTTTCAGACATGATGGACAATAATTAAAGGGCAGGAAAGTCTTACAAACCGTGGCTTTAGGGAGTTGAGTTACAATGGTGAAAAGAACATAATTTCACAAGACCAGGACAAGCCCAAGTTAAACAGTAACAAAAGCAGAAGTGTTCTGTTCAATCACCATTTATTGTTGTTCAGCAAAATGTCCAACTTCAAATGCTAAATCTAATTAGGAGAGCTCACACTGTCTCAACAATAGGAATGGGAAAGTGGGATCAAAATAATGAGAGACAAAAGCATTCAATTTCTCACACCTGGATGTCGGTGATTCTACCAAAGGACTTGCCAGCAGATCCAGTTGGAGGTTTTCAGGACATTAAGGACTCAACACCTGCAATTTAATGAACACACTGCAGGAAACGGCTCTAACTACTCTGAAACCATATGGATGTTTAAGAACAGCATGCCAATGTGATGCTGCCGAGTCTCAACTCACACTGTGCTAATTATTGCCAATTTAACCAAGCTGTTCAGCATCAAACATAACACTTCTCAAGAAACTTCAATCAGGCACCTACAGGCAAAACACTTAGCAATTCTGGTGTGGGGAGAAATAAGAACGTGACATTTAGCGCTAAACAACAAAGAGCGGGTTTTAAGACTGAAGTGTAGAGAGGAAGAGAAGCAATGGGCATAAAGAAAAACATGGTGAAGAGACAGACAGGTGTAAATCAAGGGGAGAAGAGCTGAGATGCTCTCAAGACAACAATAAACCAGCTCTGAGAGCGCTGGTGCGACTGGAAGAACCTGCTCCTGGGTCACAGCAGAACAGGTACAGGCTTGTCAAAGAGTACTTCATGGAAAGAAAACGCAACTCTGTCTCGAAGCTGTGAAATGAGTGCCAGAAGAAGAAAGTAGTTTTCTCATTTCCTTGTAGGGCTCTTTTCTTTCAGCCACAAATATCTGTGGAATGGACTGGTTTCTCATTTTTGTGCATTCATTGTGGAGCTGATTTCCATGTAATTGTTGTTCTTGTGTTCGTTTGACTGCTATCCAGTGCACTCACCATACATCTTTCCCTCGTCTGACAGGATGATTTTCCTCCTGCCACAGGGAGGGTAGATGGCGAGGGCCTCCTGGAAGCTCTGCTCAATATCCGGGCTCCACACGCCCTCAGCGTCCCCGTCCATGGTCTTGTCCTCGTTGTCCCCGTCCAGCCCATCTTCTGGGCTACCGTTGGCGCTCCACTCGTTGGACGCAATGATGGCGGCTCTCCCTGGGCCCGACCCCGAGCCCCAATATCAAAGGATTTGTAGGTCTGTCAAAAACAAGATACAAGCTCTTAGTTGTTTAATTCAACAATGGATCCCTTTTACAACTTTAGCAAATAATCATCACTATACATAAAACCTAAAGAGTGTGAGACTTCTTCATCCTAACATGCAAATTACAGGATAGGTCTGATGATATTCTATGGTTTTGTGACTGTCAATAAGGAAATGAAGAGACACAAAAAACCAACAATAATCTAATCCTACTGACAAGTATTGTCTGTGTAGCCAAAGCCTTGTTTAGCTTATTCCCCATCGCTGTCCAGAAATGATTAAAACCCACCAGTGAGCCAGTCTGCTGCACCGGGTGACATGCTCTTTCATTATGATGAAACACACTATTTTTCCTCATTTGAGTAACGTATGCAGGAACGAGAGGTCACGTACAGCAATGCCATGCAAGTCGTGTTGCCAGCATTACTCTGAATCAGACTGCTCGTATCAGTTTATGTCTAGTGGCACAACTGGAACTACAGGTTAAACAAACTGACTGTAAAACTATGATCTGTAACACCCAGTAAGACATGACTCTTTGATTGGGTCGAACATATAATTTAAAGCCGTTATTTGTCTTATTAACATATTATTTTGAGACCCTGTGTGGAGGCGATCGCCTGTTTTGGCAAGTATGCGGAAGCCTGGAAACCTTTTTCATGGTGGTAGTGGATGAGCAAGTTTTATGACTCTTGGACCAGTGTTCACAGAATAAATCCGCTGCTGCTTGGTCTACATTTTACACTGTGATAATCAGCAGACAACAGTTTCCTACATTGTTTTGCTTATACTGGATTTATGATACAGTGCTGCTGATATTCAAACACATTTGATAAAATTCAATTCAGTCATATCTACAAAATTAAATAATACTTTCCATACAATGTGATCTTAATACTTGCCAAGGTTGCCTACAGTTTTTTTTATTGCTTTAATAAATCTAGATAAATGAGTATATGTGAAACATAATGAATATTGAACTTGAATGAGGAATGTCTGAGGGTCACAGCTTTGGCTGCCTTTGACATTTACTTTATTGTAGTCATTAAAGCTGCACAAATAAACAATGCAAACCGTAATTATTACTATTTCCTCAACTTAATTTTTCTGAAATGGCCAAATGAGTTCAAGATATTCCATAAAACAAAGTTTAAAAACCTCACTAATCAGCATTGGCCTCAAAGAATTCTTGTGGGCTGGGAACTGTTTCCCTGTGTGGTTGTCTCATGGCTCGCTGAAGACGAAGATCTTAAGTATTTTTCAAGCTGCCTTTTCAGCATTGTATTGTTTCTGAAATGGAAGTCTATGAGGTAACCACGATCCTCTGAGGATGCTCATGTTTCTGCTTTAGCATTTCTGCAGATGCTGACAAAAATAACATGCACCGGATTAATACCCAGCGCCCCGGGATGGTGCCAATTACAATTATTTATATGAACATTCAGAAATTATGATTAAATACTGCAAAGCATTACAGATAATCTTTTAGTTTTATATCTTAAAATGTGATTTAAACTAATAATTTTCAAGAAACATAAATAAATAATATCCAAAAAGGTAAGTTTACCTTATCTTTTACCCCCCTAAGAAATAGGAAGGCAGAGCCTTTAGCTATCAAGCTCCTCTCCTGTGGAAACAGCACCCAGTATCAGTTCGGGAGCCAGACACCCTCTCTACCTTTAAGATTAGACTTAAGACTTTCTTTTTTGATAAAGCTTATAGTTAGGGCTGGATCAGGTGACCCTTCCCTTGGTTATGCTGCTATAGGCCTAGGCTGCTGGGGGGCCCATGATGCTCTGAGCTCCTCTCCTCTCTCTGCATCTATATGCCACCATGCATCACTGTGTGTCTCCTCTCTCCTGTAGTGTGTCCTCTCTCTCTCCCTGTACCTTCCTGCAGTTTGCCCTGGCTCTGGAGCTTTACGTCTCTGATGAGCAGTCACTGGCCACATCACCCTGTCAAGTGTTTTGGTTGGTTGTTTGTTTCGACTTGTTGGTTTTTTTCTTTTCTCTCTCCTCTATCCACTCACCCCAACCGGTCGAGGCAGAAGGCCACCCACCAAAAGCCGGGGTCTATTGGAGGTTTCTTCCGTTAAAGGGAGCTTTTCCTCCTCACTGTTGCCAAGTGCTTACTGTGTAAAATGTCCTGAGATGACTTTTGGTGTGACTTGGCGTTATACAAATAAAACTGCAAATGAAATGAAATTGTGAAAGGTCTGCAATACAAAACTGCCCAGAGATCTCCATTGGCCTCGTCTCTGTAGTCGCACCAGATCATCTGAGAACCACAAACAGGTGAACAAACTAGTGATGCGTCCTCTCCCTTCCCACCATCATTTAAAGGAAACTGCATAGATGAAAGGCAAGAAGAGCAGATGTATGGGTCCTGCAGTGCAGCATACAACATGAAATTTATGGAGGTCACTGAGCCCAAACAAGAGTTTGACAAATATCCACAAGTCAAACTGCTAATTTTAGCTCACAGGGTATTGGTTATGGCAAACCCTCTGCAACAGGGTCATAGTGTTAAAACGCAACACTGAAACTGAAGACTCGTCAGTAGCTCAAGTGATCTAGTCAGTCTAGATCAGTCCTCACGGGTCACATGGTTGGATTCCCACCAATGACTGCTGCCTGCATGTGACTATAGTTAGGGTTAGCTTAATCATATTATGTCCTACATGTTTCAGAATAAATGCACAATACTTTATAAAGACCAACACCCCAAGACAATAGCAAAAGCTCACAAAAATTCAGACAATGTAAATAGCCCAAAGTATTTTATTAATGAATGCACAGGTGCTGTGGGGCAACTGCTTCAGTACAGCCAGGCAATAATAATAAGACTGGTGGCACACTGAGGGAGAGAGGGAGGGAGGGATGACCACTCTATTGTTTATCTCCAATTATAGCAGAGAAAACACTGCAAGCCTTCTCTGCACTGTGAGCTGCGAAGAGCAGCAGAAGGTGCAACATGCAGATCTGACAATGGCGCTTACGCTCGCGCCCCAACTGCTAACAAGAGCGTGTTCTAGTGAGGTGCTGCGAAAGAGAGGCTCTTCACCAAGAGACGGGCCTGAATTCCAGACATGTCCTTATTAAGAAAGAGCTGTGAGTGCTCACTGTTTCTCCTTCTGCCTCCCTTGTGTCAACCCAATGCCCTCCCTCCCTCCAACTGCCTCCCCCTCTCCACCCAGAGCTCAGAACGTCTTTACCCAAATAAGGACAGGAGACCAGGGGATGCGTGCATGAGAGGAGTGGGAGGTGGGTGGGTTAGCTGGTTGGTTGGAGAGCAAAGGGGGAAAAGGGGGTGTGTATGGGGGGACGAGTGTGGGGTGGCGGTGGGGGTGTTGTGCAGTTTAGGCGTCCACTTTGGGGTCTGGAAAACAGTGGGATTGTTCCAGCTGGAATGCAACATCAGCAGTGAACACGATCCTGCTTTGTGACGCTGAGCTCAGGCGAGAGGGAGGGCATTGTCAGAGCCATTTTCTCAATACATCCTCCAGTGGAATCACAGGACTTAAATCAGGACAATGGTCATGACTTCATGATAAAAGTGAGTGGTACATTAAGTTACAAGGACAGCTTTCATATGTAACCGTTAGTTTGATACTTGTAAAGAGTTCCAATAAAAGGAATCAAGATGAACATGATTGGAATTCGGTTCTCTAACATGATTTACTGCTAGAGTGTCATTTAAAAAAACAAAAGCAGCTATAATCAACATTTTGATTATTAGAACAGCTGCTGAAAGCACAATGTATTGTAATGTCCCTTTAAGACAAGTTTGACTGATAAAATACACAGCAAACAAAAAAATTACATTTTGCTTCAGCCTTTAGGAAACTGATTGATCCTTTTCACAGTTTTCTGATACATTACAGACCAACGAACTAAACGCTTTGTCACAAAATAATCCACAGGTTAATGGACGGTGATAATAATCGACAGCTGGAGCCCTGGTCCACTACACATATCTGTGTGGGAGACTCCATCAAGCATTTGCTAAATGGGTGGGTTTATTACAGATTGTGATTGAATGACACATTGCTCTCATATTTAATACAAAAATCAGGGACACACCCCCTCGCCTACTTTCTGGAAGACAGGCCGTAGGACTCTCGAGACCGATATGCTAAAGAATTCCAATGTGCAGCGGGAGTGTAAATAAAGCTGCAAAGGTATGCACCTCACACGTTCATTCAAACAGCACCATTCATGCACCAGAATCCCTCTTCTCATTTTCCCAGGCCGGAACAGAGCGATCACACTGCAGTCTGTTTTCAGCACCCGGCTTATCTCTGCTCCGGCTCCACATACGGACCTACCAGAGCTCACTGGCACCCATACTGCCTTTCCCCCCCTTCCTAACCTGGACTGTGTGCAGCAAAATATCCCAGTGAATTCCAGTAATTCTACTGAGTCACTGTCAGGCTGCTCGGTTACATGCAGGAAATCAGTCAGTACAGCTTAAAATTGGGCAAGGGATTCTATCTCAGACATTGGTATAAGTGTGCCACTGAATGTAGGAAACCACAGACAGGAAAACAAACAGAGTCTGAGATTCAGCAGTGGGAACAATAATTCACATTCAGTCAGAAAAGGCAGAGCTAACCATTTTTTACACTGCTAATTTTTATTCCTCAGTTTTATCTTCGACTAAGCATGAGATCATCTTGGTGCTCTCACATGGACCAGCCAGATGGGCTTCTACTTAACAGTATGCGGTGGAATTCAAAGACTACAGCGAGGCAAAGCTGCTCTGTCGTGTCTCTGATTTTTATGGCCTGATGGCAACATGTCTTCTCTAGTCCACTGGTGGGAAAAGCACATTTGTCGAATCTACCAATGTTTAAGACCAATAGGTCTTAAAGAAATATACTGTACACAACAGAGACTAAACATAACACCATGAGTAACGCAAGCCCACTGAGCAGTGTTGGAAGAAGTACGCAGCTCTTTTACTAAAGTAAAAGTAGCAATACCACAGTGTA